ACATTAATGTTCAAAGGACCCTTGAAGAAAGTTAGTGAAGAAGAACAGTGTTCATATTTGCTGATATGGGTCGGTGCCAAAGGTAGGGACATTTACAACACATTTACCATGTCTGAAACTGAAGAAAAAAGCCTCCAAAGCCATTTTGACAAATTTGTACAATATGTAGCACCGAAAACAAGCATTATCTTCGCACGTTACAAGTTTCATACACGTTCGCAAAAGGAGGGAGAGTCAATTGAAGAGTTCGTAACACACCTACAACTCCTCGTTAAAGACTGTGCATATGACAAGCCTGAAGAAATGGTCCGCGATAGAATCATTTGCGGCATTATTTGAAAAACAATCTGCGAGAAATTACTCACACAAGGCGACTCACTGACAATGCAGCAGGCCATCGAGATCACAAGATCTTACGAAATAACTCAGTCTCACCTGAAACTGATGTCTGCCTCGCACAGTGCTGAGAACGTTGATGCTATCAACAAACACAGAACAAGATCCTACCCATACCGACATGGTCAAGAACACAAATCTGGTCAGAATGAATGCGGAAATTGTGGTGGGCATCATGAGCACAACAAGGAGAAGTGCCCTGCCAGAGGAATACAGTGCCACAAGTGCAAGAAGTGGAACCATTTTTCCAAAGTCTGCCGCAGCAGTACACAGACGCAGAGACCAATAAACAACACAAGGGCAAGAAGAAGATCCACACTATTGATTATGCTTTGGACTCAGATTCAGACACCGACCAATATATTGACGTCATCAATGGCGAAGCTAATGAGTTCCCCAACCAAGCCTTTGCCGATATCAGTGTGGATGGAGACCACACAATCAGCTTCAAGATCGACACAGGAGCACAAGTCAATGTCATTCCCAAGAAGGAATACGACAAGATGCCCGTCCAGCACCCACTCGAAGAAGCTGATCAGCGTCTCACCAACTACTCAGGACATGTTCTCAAAGTCCTTGGGCGTATTCAACTTCAGTGTCAGTACAAGGAACGGTCAGCAACCGAAAGTGTTTATGTTGTGGAAGCCAACGCACCTCCAGTAATAGGCCTTCCAACATCCTTGTCACTGCAACTCATCAAGCTTGTCCTTGCCCTGGAAGCCCAGCCGAAGGCAGAATCTCCTAACCCCATGACAAAAAGAATCAGTGCTATCTGACTTCAAGGATGTCTTCACAGGTGTGGGAGAATTCGAAGGTGAATGCTCAATACATCTTAAGCCAGATGCTACCCCTTCCGTGCATCCACCAAGACGCGTCCCAATCGCAATCAGAGACCGGCTGAAAGATGAGCTCGACAAGATGGAGAAGATGGGCATAATCTCCAAAGTTACCGAGCCTACAGACTGGGTCAACTCCCTGGTTGTCGTTGAGAAACCTCACAGCGGAAAGCTCCGAATATGTCTGGACCCCCCTTGATCTCAACAACGCCATCAAGCGACCACACTATCACGTGCCGACACTTGAAGATGCGCTCACCAAACTGACAGGATCCAAATACTTCAGTAAACTGGATGCAAGATCTGGGTACTGGAATATCAAACTCTCTGAGAAATCATCATACTTGACAACGTTCAACTCAATATATGGCAGATACAGATTCATGCGTATGCCATTTGGACTTGTCTCAGCCCAGGATGAATTTCAGCGTAAGATAGATGAAACATTTGGAGACCTCACAGGAACAGTTGCGATAGTTGATGATATCCTGGTTCATGGAAGGACCAGGAAGGAACATGATGCCAATCTACAAGCTGTACTATGTCGTTGTCGACAAAAGAACGTCCGCCTCAACCCTGACAAGTTATCCATTGGTGTCACTGAGGTCAGTTACTTTGGTCATCTCATCACAGCAGAGGGCACAAAACCAGACCCCACAAAAGTTGAAGCCATCAAGCAAATGTCGCCTCCCAAAGATAAACAAGAGTTGGACACAATGCTTGGCATGATCACCTACCTCGCCAAGTTCGCACCTTCCCTTCCAGAAGTCACCAGCCCAATGAGGGAACTGTTGAAGCAGGACGTAGAGTTCCACTGGGACAAACGCCAAAACGACGCCCTGGAGAAGGTCAAGTTACTAATCACAAGTGAGCCCGTCCTCGCCTTCTTTCATCCGAAAAAGCCCATTACTCTACAAGTAGATGCCTCGAAGAATGGATTAGGTGTCACCTTGCTCCAAGACAAGAAACCAGTGGCATATGCTTCAAAGGCTTTGACCCCTAGCGAGCAGAACTATGCTCAAATTGAGAAGGAACTTTATGCAATCCTGTTTGGTTGCAAGCGGTTTCATCAGTGCATCTATGGCCACACCGTGACCGTTGAGTCAGATCACAAGCCGCTTGAAAGTATCATGAAGAAACTTTTGACGGCAGCACCTGCACGCCTCCAGCGTATGCTGCTGCAATTACAGAAGTATGATCTACGTATCGTCCATGTTGCAGGAAAAGACATACCAGTTGCTGACACGCTCTCGCGCAAGTTTCTGACTACAAAGACGATGGGATGTCAGAAGAAATGGAAGCGCAAGTTCATATGGTACTCGCAAATCTCCTGTGAGTGACCACAAGATGTCACAACTACGAGACGCCATTAACAATGATGTTCAGATGAAACAACTGAGGACAACCATCCTCAATGGTTGGCCAGATTCAAGCGAATGTCCAGAAAGCATCATCGAATACTGGAATCATCGGGACCAACTTACCGTCATGGATGGTCTCATATTCAAAGGGGAAAGATCATCATTCCCAAAGGCCAGAGATCCGAGCTCCTCCAGAAGATCCACTCCAGTCACTTCCGGAATGGAGAAGTGCAAAGAACGAGCCCGTGACATTCTATTCTGGCCCGGCATGAACGCAGAGATTGAAGCTGCAGTTGCCAATTGTACAGTATGCTGTGAGAAACAGAGATCAAACAGCAAGGAACCACTACAGCCACATGAAATACCATGCCGTCCCTGGCAGAAGGTGTGTGCAGACCTGTTCACTTGGAACAACAAAGAGTACATCGTTCTGGCTGACTACTACAGTCGTTTCTTCGAAATAGACCAGCTCAGAAGCCTGTCTTCATCAGCAGTGATCCGCAAGTTATCCGTCAACTTTGCACGTCATGGGATCCCTGAAATCCTGATGAGTGACAACGGTCCACAGTTTGCATCAGCTGAATTTGCAGACTTCGCCAGCAGATGGGACTTCAAACATATTACATCAAGCCCCAGATATCCTCAGTCCAATGGACTAGCTGAAAAGTGTGTGCAAATATTGAAGAACATTCTCGACAAAACATACAAGGATGGCATTGATCCACTCCTTGCACTGCTAGAATATCGGACAACACCAGTTGACAACTTGGCTTCGCCCGCGCAACTTCTGATGAGCCGACGTCTGCGGTCAGTGCTTCCCACCACTGGCAAACAACTTCAGCCCAAAGTTGTTGAACCTGCCGATGTGTGTGCAAGACGCAAACAAGTTCAGTCCCGTCAGAAACTGTTCTATGATCGAGCCGCCAGGAATCTGCCACCGCTTCAAATGAATGACAGTATCTATTTGCAGACCGCTGACAAAACCTGGAAGCCAGCCCAGATCACCAGAGTAGATCCAAATCGCTCATACCAAGTGCAGACAGCAGATGGTGCCCAATATCAACGCAACAGGCGCCACCTAAGACACACACCAATGAGAAACCCCAGCAGCAATGCCGATGATACACCAACGGACTTAACATCAGTGCCACTCCAGAAGGTGACAGCATCAACATCGTCCAAACCAACACCGTCCAAACCAATGACTGTTACCAGATCTGGAAGAGTCGTAAGAGCTCCTCAAAAGTTGAACCTATAGACTGCAAAGTTACCCTAGTTGATAGTTCTTAGTTACTCAGTTAGTGTTGTTTAATTTACATGTTATCAGTTCGTGCTTTATCGTTACCAGAAAATATTAACGGACCAGTTGTAGTGATCTTGTTTCTGAACTGTGCCAAAGACATCTGGTCCGCCAGTGCCAAGTAACAATACGTGTGAACGCCCACGTGTATCAGTGTTGACATTATATACAAGATATCTTCTCCTATAACATTCTGATAGTATAGCATCCATATCCTAGTTGTTATGACAAACATTTTGTTCAAAAGAAAGGGGATTTTATGTTATGGCCCCAGTGACATATGGGAGACAACTCCTGAAGCCTTGAGTGACACAAGCCAACTGGAAGTAGCTAGTTATCTCCCTTGGATCCAGGAAGTATGTACTTACCTCCCTTAGTAATGGCTGATTAAAAACCTGTGTTTAATGCCACTGTGTTTGTCATCCAAGAACATCAGCACGTACAGAACATAACAGGTAATAGCTCTTCCCCGTGTGGATCCGGAGCAGAATAGGTCCACAGCACCCCATTGCTATTCGTAAGAACTGGGCAGCCTGTTTGCCGCGGGTTGCGTCCCTGTGTCGGTGGAGGAGGGATTCTGGTGGTTGAGGGCAAGGGAGCCTTTGGCACAACACAAAACTTAGACCCTGACTTCACCTAGTGAGTGAGTGAGTTAATATTTAACGTCACATCGGCAATGCTTTAGCCATATTGTGACAAGAAGAATGGCGTTGATTAGGAATATGTGTATACTATGAAACCTGTCGTCAAAGGACAGTAAAACAACTAGACTATCACAGTTAGAATTAAAACTAGCATGTTAAGTTAAAACGAATAGCACTATTTGGACAACACAATATACAAACAGGCTATAGGGCACCAACAACTGAAGTTAGATCACCATACCAGTGTCCATGGGGACCTACAGTACTTTTGCTTCCTGCATGGACCCATGCTGGGCAACCCCTTAAGCCAGGATGTGCCAATGACAACTGGCTGCAACTGTGAGCGGACATCAAGCGTTCAGTTGGTATGGCATCAGGTAGTTAGACCAGAAGTGAAGAAAACTGCTCCTCTGAAGTCTGCAAAAGGCGAGACAATCACCGACCGTGATCAACAGGTAAAGCGATGGGTCGAACACTACTCAGAGCTGGGAAGTCAGCAGTGCTGCAGCCCCTGTACGGCCTGCTTTGCCTGTGCTGGAGGGAAGGTGCAATCCCCCAAGACATACGTGATGCCTCCATTGTGACTCTCTACAAGAACAACGGTGACCGCAGTGACTGCAACAACTACAGAGGGATCTCCCTCCTGAGCATTGTCGGGAAGGTATTTGCCCGCATCCTCCTCACCAGGCTCCAAACACTGACAGCTCGAGTCCCAATGCGGCTTCAGGGCGGCTTCAGTGCACCAACTTCAGAAGAAGTGCAGAGAGCAGGGCAGGCCACTGTATCTGTAATTCATTGATCTAACAAAGACTTTTGACCTTGTCAGCAGAAAGAGCCTCTTCGATCCGTCTCCTCGAGAAGATGGGCTGTCCTCCTCAGCTGCGCATCATGGTGATTTCCTTCCACGAGGACATGAAGAGCACAGTTATGTACGACATTACCAGAGTCGTATCGGGTCTTGCTCATCTGCCTTCGCTATCTCCTTACACACTGAAGAGGCCATGCAGAGACTCATGGACAGGGTCGATCGTGCCTGCAAAGAATTTGGACTCATGATCAGTCTGAAGAAGACCAACTTCAGTGCACAGGTTGCAAGCCATGCACCCTCTATCAGCATCAGTGACTACACCCTGGAAGTGACAGAGGACTTCATGTACCTTGGGTCGACCATCGCTACCAGCCAGTCACTTGACATAGAGATCAACCGGTGGATAGGAAAAGCCTCAGCAACCATGGCCAAGCTGTCCAAAAGAGTGTTGGACAACAAAAAGCTCACAGAGAATACCAAGATGCGTCAGGCACTCTCCTGTACAGCGCCGAAACATGGACCACCTATGCGAGGCAAAAACGCCGTCTGAACACCTTCCACATGCGCTGCCTCAAACGCATTCTGGGCATCACCTGGCAGGACCGAGTACCGCACAGCAACATCCTGGCCAGGGCTGGAATCCCAAGCATGTTCGCCATGCTGAGTCAGAGTCGTCTACGCAAGCTTGGTAAGGTGCATGGAAGATTCCCAAGAACCTACTCTACAGCCAACTTGCCACTGGTACCAGACGCACAGGACGCCCAACTCTCAGGTTCAATGTTGTGTGCAAACGTGACATGAAAGTGTGCCACATTGACCCTGATGCCTGGGAAACAGCGGCTGACGACCGTGGTTGCTGGCGTCAAATGGTGCAGATTGGAATCAGACAAGCAGAGGAGATAACCCAGCAGGCAGCAGAGAAACGAGCATGCCGCAAACAGCTACTTCTTTCCAGTGGTCCTGCTTCGTCTGCACCAACTGCAACAGAGACATCCAACATTCATTTCAGAATTGGGTTGCACAGCCAAACCACGGACCACAACCACCCTCCGGGACTGCACTGCCAACGATCACATGTGGTCACTTAAAGCAAAATATGATTGATACTTCTGTGTTGTGGTCAAGGACTATGGAATTTCACTGATCAGAGCCACAATGTCACAACGGAGCTTTCAGGAACTAATGGATTTATTGCGAGTTGATAACAAGGAAACAAAATCAGTCCGAAAACAGAAGGATACATTTGCAGCAGTCCGTGACATATGGAAAATGTTTGAATGTTCTTTGCGACGGTACAACCTGAAATTGGTAACGATATTGAAAAGAGAAATTTCATAAATATGATACATGACATTTTATAGTATTCAGATATCGTAAAAATTTAGGAAACTAGAAAACATAACTTATCAATAAAACTTAACTGTGATTAATACATACTTGCTGTTGAGATCTAATTGTTGACTGGAGGATATGCATTGTTTCTTCTCTCTGTGAACTAGCAATTACTGTAAATAGGGCCTTGTGCAAAAAATGGTAAGGGAGTAAACACTTTTTAGGGTGTGACTGGGCTTCCTAGGCCCAGGGTAACAGGAAAAGCAGGCAGAAAGGGTAGCAGGACAAGTGTTAAGGCAAACCATGTGAGCTTCAAAAGTTTTGAATTCTATTCATAGCAAAAAGGTGAAGATATACTTCCAGATACACCAGCACAGCAAAAATAACTGCGTTTCCGGACCCCGGAAACCTAACGGAAACAAAATGGAAACTTAAGTTTCAACTAGGTTTCCGGAACGTTTCTCTACATTTCCTTCAAGTTTCCGGAAAACGGAAACTTACAAATTACCCAGAAACCGGCATGGCTCCAGTGCGTTTCCGTTACCCAGTTTCCAGTGAGGGCTCCAGTGCGTTTCCGTTACCCAGTTTCCAGTGAGGGCTCCAGTGCGTTTCCGTTACCCAGTTTCCAGTAAGGCTCCAGTGCGTTTCCGTTACCCTTTTTCCTGTAGGGCTCCAGTGCGTTTCCGTTACCCAGATTCCTGTATGGTTCCAGTGCGTTTCCGTTACGCAGATTCCTATGAGGTTCCATTGGGTTTCCCTTATCCTCTACTTTCAGATGGTTTCATATACATTGTATTTACTTAGTTCAATTATGATTCCCTGTGAATTTCGTTTCTATTAAACACATTTACCATGTTCCATAAGTTTCAGTAAATCAGAATCTGTATGGATTCATTTGGTTTCAATCATAAGTATTCAGGGATTACCATATGTCCATATTAAATTATGATTATTCAACTAAATTAAGTGTAGTTGAAATGAGTGTATTATATATTTGACTGTATTAGGTCATATATTTTATTCATGATACATTGAAATATAAAATAAACTCATTTCAACTACAGTTACCTCAACACCACATGGACATAGAAATAAATAAATACAAAATCAGGCATGTCAGTCGTTTTCTCTTTATTCATCATAAACATATCATATCTATGTTTCAATGTTACAATTAAACATTGACACAAAGCACAGAGAGAGAGAGGGGTGTGTGTGTGTGTGTGGGGGTGTCATCACAGGCCCTATGGATTTGAAATTTTGTATGAGTAGTAGTTTGTTCAAATAACTATTATGGAGGGGTTGACATTTTTTAATTTGAGGGACATTAATTTTTAATCTTAGTCTCAGAAACAACAAATTTAGATGTTCTTGTCCTAAACAGGGTGACTACAGGAGATGTACATTCCATCCTATTTCTAAGACCTTTAGGTGGTTGGAAAGCATCTTGTTGGATGGTGTCGCAATTGCAAGTTCTTCATTTTTGCCGCTGGAGCTTCAGACACCACTGGCGATGTCAATTCTAGGGTTAGGACTGCAGCCACCTTCTGTGTTCTTTTCTCTGCCCAGTTAGATTCTTCAGGAGGTGTTGGAGTTTCTGGGGGAAAAAATGAAATTCTTGCACTGCGAAAGTTATGTCCAACATTTATTCTTGAGAGTGGCACTTGTTCTAATTAGATAATGGCACATTACGGTGATGGGTAATGACATGTGATAAGGAAAGTTATTCTATTACAGGTATATAGCGATGTGATAATATGTAGCACATCATGTCAGTGACTCAGGGTGTTTTAAAGTGGTGTCAGGAAGTGTATAAACCGGTACAAATGATATTATATAATCCAGTTTCAGGAACTTACAGATCAGATTCTTTTGTTTCTTTTAGCATCTTTCCTGTGTTTTTCTTTCCTGTAATCTGCCGACGTCGATCGTCCGTCTTGCTCCTCCAGATTATCCAAAAGGTTTCTATTAAGAAAAGGAAATGAATTAATTTTCATTCGTCCAATAATAGATTATTACAATCCGACACAAACATTCATAAGTTTGATTATTATCATGTATCAAAACAAGTAATAAGTAATTGTGGTATATCAACTACATGTATATGCATTACTGCGAGGGTGTGAGAAGTTTTCTATTAACATGACAGACATGATTATGCAGCAAATATGCACTACATAATAGTATGCTGTGTCAATTCTACTGCTAGTACCAGATACCTGACAATGAAATAATTAGATGCTAGATTTACCCAATGGTGAACAAGAAACGAATTAATTGTATTTTGTATTACTGACGTGTCTAATCTTATAAAACCCAACATATATCTTGATTATGATGACGAGCAATAATAAAACTTGGGGTAAGTTTTTTACCTTAAATAAGTAACTTTTAATGGATTTTCAAGGTACTCGGGAACTTTTCCATGATTCTTCTCACAATAGCCTAAAACAAAAAGAGACACACATTTGGATCATGAACATATGTCGATTGGTAATATTTTCCACCGGAATATCATGTACTACTGGTTTCATCTATATTTGTTGCCTTGCTGGATACATGTATAACAATTTCTTAAAATATATTTTTATTCCATCAATAACCTGGAAAGGTGAACAAGCCAAGTGTCTTATATAAACGCCGCTCCAGAAAACGGTTCCAATGTAGCTGGATACAAAATTGAAATAGTCCGACAAGAAAAGAATAATACTGAGACAAAATTACACTCAGAAAAATGACTGAAGAATAAATATTTGGTTATGGTGTTGGTTGTGCCCAGCAACAAAATGAGCTGCCGCAGGAAATAAAAATTATATAAACATCAGACTCAACGTACAGGAACACAAGGGTATTCTTGTCTTATGGTTATATTTTAACGGAATGTTCAGCTGGTATCAACAATAATGTTGTTTTTTAACAGATTTCACACCAAAATGCAATGTCCACATTAATAACCGTGGGAGAAATCGAAATGCGAGCGCACCGTTACTGTAGATTCCTACCGAAAACGTTTAATTCGATGCAAACTGACTGCTATGATAAGAAGAAAATAATTAATTTTATCTGAAACCTACCTGCCAATTTCTCTGTCTTGGGTTTCCGTTGAGATCGCTTGAGTTCCCGGATCCTTGTTTCCAAAGCTTCGATTGTCAAGTTTGTTGCCATGTGTCAAGAAAACTATAGCAAGTATACAGACTGCCATTTCTACTACCTTACTCTCATAGACTTACTTGAAAACAACAACGAAGTTTTTTCCAAGCTCGCGCGTGTACGTTTGAACAAAGATGGCGACATTTCAAACAAAGACTTATGGGTAGTCAATTAGGTTGTTTTTTTCATTTCTATTGTTAACACGCCAATAGTCTGCTTACCCTTCACAAGCTTGGAAAAACACTGATAACTGCAATATGTGTTTATGTAAATTGTTTGTTTTTACAATGTCCGTCACATCTCGCGAGGCCTCATTCATTCCAAATCAAGCGCTTCCGGTTTCGGGACAACAATTTTAGTATGTGATCTGACTGCCAGGTGGGCAGCACATGCTACCTCGACCGTGACGGACCCAGGGACTGGGCAGCTGTCAACCATGGCAGAATTTCCTCAACCTAAAGAGTGAAACAATATGAACGGTGGATGTATTTCCCGTAATAAAGTACTCCAGAAATCAGTATAAGCTTTTTTTCAGATTTTCCGACGCGTTGATCGTATATGACCGATCCAATTTGATCCTATTTCTGTGTTTTTTACCTGATATTTAGTCATATCAAGAACAATGTGATGGTTGATCACCTATTATTTTAAAACCACACAGCGTAGTTCCCTAAGATTCTGTAGTAAATTAATATTGCATGCAATAGAACGATTTTACCCGGGTTTTTTTGTCATCTAGTGAACTTATAACAGGTATAGTACTACATGTTATGTAATATATGCATGCAGGTGCAGCAAAAGGAATTATCAGCTGAGTTAAAAAAACAAACACAGATGAAAGGATTAACCGATAACACGCTAATTGATTTATTACTTTTATCTTGCACGACGTCTTTGTCAAAAGATAGTCTTTATGTTTGTAGAGTTACTAACGTATACTGAAAAGGTTTAGTACCGTGACGTAGACATTTGTGATGTTTGTAACAACAATAAGGGCGACACACAGGGATTTTCAGGTTGACCGCACTTGGAGAACAATGGACATAATCTGTGATGATAGGCATGCAG